TGCAAAACGACCGCTGTTGCCAAGGAGATTTCTTCACGCTGGGTAAACTACCGAGAATGCCCCATTGTTTCGGGCTTCGTTGGACGGATGCTGAAACTCCCCAGGGAACAAATTCTTGGAGAACCTGACGTCCCTTGGAGTTGAGCGTCTCGAACATTTTTTTTATTGCAGTAAAAAGCCTGTTTGATTCTGCGTCACGTTTCGTATCCTGAGAACTCTTGCTCATCACGGAGTCCAAATCAATTATGATAAATGCTTTGTGGAAAATTGCTTAATTGTTGCCTGCTTGTAAAACCTATAATTTTTCCTATTCGAATAAAAGTTTTGTGGCTGAAGGCAATGCTGCATAGCTACACTGGAAGGTAAGCATTAGCCACTGATAAAACTTACCTCGACCCGAGGTACTGCATTGCAGCATGCATGTGTTAGTCCAACACCAGTTAGATTTTACATCCTATAACACTGAATTTTGGCAGTAAAGAAGTCGCTGAACTGCCGGTAACTTTTCTCTTGAGACAAACCTGTATCATTCAGAAATTTCGTGATTTGCGTTCTCCGAAACGTAGGCACAACAACAAATTTTTTTTTCAGTAGGCGCAAGGTTTCAAGATTCCATTGCTCAGGTTCATCGAGATTCAATGACCGTTAAGCACTGAATTAATCAAGATTATTTCCCAGAACTTCAAAAAATAATGAAGAAGTGATGAATATTTAAAATAAATCTAGTCTTCAAAATTTTTTACCATCTGCGCCTAGAGTGAATTAAATGAAATGTTCTTGCAGTAATTGCGCTTCACCACCATCATCATTCTATGACTTCGTAATTCACTACTGACGTGGTACGTTGGTCTCCTGAGAGGCTTTTAGGACCCTAGATATTGCTTATCATGTTGCTGTGTAGTTGCTGGTGGAGGTGCAGGTCCGATAACCTTGGCGAAACTGCATTGATATGTCCCTGCAATGGTGACTGCCCAGTGAAACTGCTATTACTTTGGGTACATGACAGGAAAAATAATATTGGTTAAACAGAAGTAATTCCAATAATAATGAAATATTTTTATAGACCTTCAATATTGTCAATGGTACAGAAAGTTATCAAGCTTTTCTAAAATACTGTGAGGTGTCTAGCTCGGATTCATGATCAGCATTGTAGGAACGATCGTCGTTCATCCAATGAATGTAACCCACTTCCCAGCTATAGCCCATCAGACGTCAAGACTCCAACCGGTATTGATAGTATTTCAAGCATCCGTTGTGCATGATGGAGTAAAAGTTTAAATATACACGAGGATATTTTGATTATTAATCAAAATAAGTTTGAAATTTTTCAGTTACCTCGCCTATCACACGTGTCCAGTGTACACCTAAGGATGCGGATTGAGCGTAAGGCTTTAATAACTGATGATTTTTGTTGGCATGAATCTTGTGAGTAGCCAAAGTTCGTCAGAAGCTCAGCACGAACTTCACCTGTTTTCGGAATTTCTTTTAAAATGCATCAAATATGATGCTAAATTCGACACAAATTATCATAATTCTAATGATCATAATTACATGTCACTCACGTCAGACGCAAAGCTCAGTCTTTCCCAAAAAACATATGTGAAATACGACTTTAAATGCGACACAAATGATCGCAATTTAATAATAATGACCTCATCTCACTCACGTCAGATGCCCAGTCCAGTCTGTACCCGTCATACCCTTGTAAGGAGCCAGCGCTCACCGCCCGTACCAGGCATTTCCTTGAGACGCGTCGGTGACCGTTAAATTCAAGAGCCCGCCCTCTCCCGCATGACGACCGCATATGCCTTGAAGCCAACAAAAATTCATTGATTTTTGAGCTTCAGCCATTCAATATATTTTGCATGTGGAATCTTGTAGTGGGATGCTCAGCAGCTTGCATAATCAAAGACTGGAAAATTTTTATTAGGCTATTTTCGTGCTACAAAATTTGTTACTAACGTTAATAATTATTTTTGTTCCAATGAACTCCAATGTTCACAAAGCTTCAAAATGATGAAGTTACAAAAAGTTAAAAAAAATTCAGCACATTTTATTGATGGGGAAGAAACAAAAATTTAATAAGGCTTATCCAATCTTTTTCTGTCATCACTATACACTTCATTTAAGAAAGCTCTCAGTTCTCGTGCCTTAGTCGTGGATGTACATCAGTTCCTCCTACAGAAGTTGCTCGCACTGTGTGGGGTGTGCGCCCTGAGGTCATCTGTCCGAATAACAGGATTTTCCGGTCCTCTTCTCGCTCGCCCAACGACGTAATGCAAGCAACCAATGGCTATGAATCATAACACAATATCTTCTCAAAATGTAGCTTTCTCTATTGTTCCAATGCAGGCTAGCTTTGTTCCTGAAGGGAAACAGGTTGGGTTGAGAAAGCTTTTCCACACTCATCATAAATAACTAGAACATATTTCACATAAATTCCGCGCTTTTCCCCGAAACCACGCTTCTTAGTTTCTTGCTTATCCTACAGTTAGATGCCAAACTCTTCAATTCGGTCACACCAATTCTACAAAAAATTATTACTCAATCTAGATTCGCATGGATTTAATTTTCTATCGTGCAATATTTGTGAAATGTTTAATCTATTTTGTCTAATAATAATTTAACCTTCCGATCTAATTTTCATTGCGGCTGATCTGTGGCATTGGCCAGATACAATTATTTACAATTAGCTGACCACTAGACTTCCATGGCGAGCTAATGCCTGGTAAACTGCAGTGCCTGCTAGTGCCGCTACACGCTCCTCTGCACTGCCTGCTAGTGCCGCTACATGCTCCTCTGCAGTGCCTGCTAGTGCCGCTACACGCTCCTCTGCACTGCCTGCTAGTGCCGCTACACGCTCCTCTGCACTGCCTGCTAGTGCCGCTACACGCTCCTCTGCAGTGCCTGCTAGTGCCGCTACACGCTCCTCTGCAGTGCCTGCTCGTGCCACTACACGCTCCTCTGCAGTTGCCGCTACACGCTCCTCTGCAGTGCGAGCTCAACGGAAATCTAAGATTTTTTTGTTCGTGTAAATTTTTCGTAAAAAATGATTGAAACGTGAAATTCTTAGAAAACAGCAAAAAATGGGGAAAACGTGATATATACTCAAATTAAGAAATTCTTGTCTAAGCAATATGCTGAGATTGTTCCCGAGCGAAACGATAGGAATGGTGTTTATTGTGATCATGTCGCATACTTTACACCATCCCACACCATATCGCATAATTTGGAACTCTCGCTGTCATATTTTTGTCAGCATTTCTAAGATTTTAGCGTAGGGATTTGTTTGTATAACCGTTGATAGTACATGTATATTGGCGTTCGAGCGTGCTGTCAAGTTATTATTACCATTTCTAGGCTTTCGTTTAGAATAACCGCTATGAGGAATTATATAGCGGTTAGAATAACTGCCATATGATTTTAGAATAACCATTTCCATGTAGATTGTTTGCTGCTCTGAACTCTCACGAACATCATGATTACATTTGAACCTATTATTTTCAGAACTATCCAAACGGAAAAATAAAATTAATAATAATAATATCCTCTGGCAGACATATCCGGAATCAGCATTTTTACTCTGATGATCAAAGGAATATAGGTAATTAATGTAGAAGATTTTAATTTGTTCAATGCAATTCAATACTTGCCATGAAAGCTGCAAGAATTTCGTTGCCCGCATGAACAGGCAGAATTGCAGACGCGAGCGTCACGCTCCGGTGGCCGCCCCTGCGGGCGTAATTCTCGGTGCATGCAGTGTGGCTGTCCGGCAAGCTGTCTCCTCATCGAAATTTAAATTAATTTCTTCAAGTTTTTAATATCAAAACGCTGTTGAGCTTATTCCAGGGATACAACGTTTCTTTCCGAGATACTGCAGCATCGCCAAACAATGTTTTTCAAATACATTCTTGTCTTTTCCAACAATAAAGACAGTAATCACGAGGATGTTGCGGACGTCCGATAATTGCTATAGGCGCTTGCGCCCGCGTTGTGTTGCTTTGCACTGGACTGCACGAGAAGTTTTGCTTAAATGCCCCTGGCAATTCATTGCGTTTGCGGGTCAAAGGACCGACTTGTCATGTATGAACTGTGAGAAGCTCTTAAATTATTTTGCGTGGTAAAGAGACCAAGCGACCTTTCGTCTGAAATTGTTTCATATAAATGATAGTCACGTTTTGCTGTGAAATGATATTCCAGAGAATGAAATTGATCTCTGCAGTTATTTTCTTGCGAAAAAGCCGTTATTGCTCGCGGATTTTGTGAAGAAAATCGCTATTTTTCTCACTATATCTCGCTAACCAATCAGGGAAAAGTATCTCAAGGGGGAAGAAAATCCATTGAAAATAAAGATAATCCATTGCATATGAAAAAAAATATACTTAAGAGGAAGCAGGCGCATTGTCTGGCAGGTGTGGCCAGACAACAGCCATGTAAGGCATCGCGGGTTCTGTATGTGTTAGGTGGAGTGACGGACGATAAGTTGCCCCCACGTGCATACAGCGCACTGTTGTTACAGCAAAATGATTCGAATATGAACATAGGTTTAAAAATACTTAAATTACTAGTTTATGAGTGAAGCAAACCCACGTTCTCAGTCTCTTACTTAAAATGTTTGTTGACGTTGGAAAACCTAGAGGTAATGTTGCCAATGGTTCTACAGGAGTGCACTCTGCAAAATCCTCGTTTTTGTACGTTTTTCATGACTTGATCCGAAATGAATGACTTTAATTTTGAGAAATCGTACCTAAATTCTCAATGAAATTTATCCATGTGCAAGACGCTTGAGTTGCAGTGACAACTTTTGTTTTGAGTACCGTATTGTCCTTGTTTTCGTTAAATTTTGACTCCTCATGTATGCAAATGTAGATCTAACGGAACAGATAATGTGTTTACTGGACGTAAAAGTTTAATTCCTGATTTCGCTTGTTCTTTATGCTTAAGTTAGCTCCATTCTATAAGGTCTTGTTCCTTGTTTCCTAATTATCGCCTTATTTCAGATCGAGTGGCCGCATGGAGAGATCTCACAAGTTCAAGCTACGCAGCGAATATGTCAAATTTGCCGTAATGCAATAAAAAAGCGGCTCATCACCCGCACAAGATGCCCATTGCCTCCAGTCCTGCACCTTCGGACGGCAAGCACCTCCTCTCTGCCCCCCAGCAGCTCGATAACCGGCACTTGGCGGTTTCTAACCTCTCTCGCAACGACTCCCTGCGCTCTGAACGCTCCGATAAAAGAGTGTCGTTCAACAACGACGTAGGAATCAAACACATACCACGTGGAGCAAATAAAGCCCCTGCACCCCCAGTTCCTCAAAAGTCCCCTCCCACACCCGACGAGTGGGCTGGCTGTGCCCCTGTAAAACGTCAGCCCAATAATTTGACGCCCGAAGAACTTGAAAAAGAAGCGGCGCATTTGGTACAAATAGTAGACAGCATTAATTGCAAGGCATCGCCCTCAACGCCAAAAAAGAACAGAGAATTTAGCAGCCGTTCACTTGACCGAACACAAAACCGAAACAGAGAAGTAAACGGAATAAATTATACGCGAATTACCAATCCTATCATCAGGCATTTGAAAGCCGACGTTAATCGACGGGAGAGCCGCCGCAAAGAAGATTTTTCCGACTCGGACATTGACAAATATCGTGAAGCTCGGCACAAATCTGTCCCGAATCTACTTAGCCCAAACGCGTACGAGAAAACGTCAAGGTCTGACTACCGCTCTCCTAGCTTGGCTAAGTCTTCAGACAATTTGGTGGACACAGACGATGTGAATTTAAATACAAGAGGGCACGACCGCAGGCCTCCGCATATTTCTCATCTATCAGCCGACAATTTGCTTGACGTAGAGCCCAAGCACACGACCTTGAACGATTATAAATCTCTAGGGAATATCCAATACTGTGATTCTGATTCAACTGATTTGTCTCACACGTACAGGCCAAAGGTGAATCAGATTATCGGTAGGTTAAACGGGAATCCAGTACCTGCCCACAGGTACACTAACAGCGACGTGAGCACTAGTGAACGAGAGTCGTCTCCATCTCGGCGCCCAGTGGCCCCCACCAGACGTCTTCGTCATAACAACAACAAACCCTTCAGCTACGTTCAACCCAACAACAATCCTAAGAAGTTGCCTAATCCCCGTGAAGTAGAGTCGGACGAAATGTACGCACAAGTTAATAAGCACGGTTTGCGGCAGAAGCTCAGTATGGACTCGGATTATTCTGCAAAGATAATAATCACCGAAGATCGGCCAAAGAATCCGTATGAAGGTGATGACGAAGCGTACGAAACCTATCAAGTTCAAAATAACTCTTTTCGTGACAATAGATACTCTGACTATGGAGTAAATCTAACCAGATATGATATTGACGGGAAGAATAACACGTTGAACAACAACATCAATATGTCATCAGTTGCGGTGCAAACTGACATGTCAAAATCTCTCAACAAAGAAAGACGCCCTTTGAAAGGCATGGCGCCAGCTCCACCTACGAAAGAGGCTCATTCTGAGCCATATCGACATGATAGAAATTTGAAATCTGACTTGCCTTCGGCTGATCTGGTGCGTCAAATCAATCACGGATTTGGTAGATTCGATAGATCTCCTTCTCCTCCCCAACGACGGGCCTTTAGCAAGTCGAACACTCGGCACGTAGTGCCCCTTCTGTCCGACACTTCTGACTCGGAGCCCGAGTACCGCAGGCGATCGGACCCTCTCAAGAAAATACGTACCCAGGTTCTTAAAGAAGGACACTTGCAAGAAGATGAAGCGGAAGAATGGGAGGAGCGCGAGATGTTGAGGGAGCAGAGAGATAAGAGAATATTGGATTTCAATCCAAATGGCATGCGGCCTCTAACAATTGATGAGGTGGATGCAATGAGCTTGGAACTGGATCCACATGGCAGTCGAAGACTCGTAGTATCGCAAAAATCGAATGACGTGCGCTCTTCTAGCCTACAAACCACCCACCGAAACGACTTTTTCCAGTCTCAAGGAGAACGAGCTTACAGTGAGGAAAGAGCGAAAGCAAGTAGACCGCTGCGCGAGCGCAGTCTTTCTAGTAGAGATGTTTCGTCCCCTAGGGATAAAACTCTTGAACGTAACCAAAAGAATAATCTTGAAAAAGAAAAACTTGCGCAGGAAAAAGCGGCCAAATTGATCGAAAATGAAAATGAAAAGAAGTTAAAAGACACACTTAAGTTTAAAAACAAAGACAAGAAAGGCAAGGAACAAAAGGAAAAGAAGAAGAAAAAGATCAAAATTAAGTTTTTTTACGATCCAAGACCTCAAGATAAGCAAGAAGATCCTCTTACTAATTTTTCTGAATACAAAGGTAGTGACAGGAATGAAAACGGGAAAGTCACACTTTCTAAAACTCGATCACGGTCATATGATTCGCGTTCTCCATCCCGTGAACGTAAAACCGGCCCATCAACATCATCGAATCGTCGCTACATCGATGACTCTTCCAAAGATCGATCAGAGTCTCGTCCTGGAAGAGGACGTAATCCAATGACTTCAAACAATCGACACAGCGAATCTGGCAATGACAGATCGTCTCATGAAGACTTCCACGACGATCGGAGACGCGTTAAGAGTAGCGACTCGCTTGCTAGGAAAGACCGTTATGGAAGTCCCGACAGGGAAGGCCGCTGGAACAGATACGAGTACGAACGTCAGGATAATGGAAATCGCAGTGGTAACAATAGGAGCGATAATGTGTACGATAGGGAGCCAGAAAAACGAGATAACTATGATTACTACGAAGATTACAATGGACGTGAAGGCTACAGAAACGTTTTCTTACAGCGCCGTGAAACTTATGAACAGCTCGAAAACAGAAATGAACGCAAAGTGTTAAGTGATACACGGCGAGAAAGATCTCCGGAGCGTCAGAATGCTACACTCAAGAGGGACTCCAATGGTCCTCGTGATGAAGAAAACACGAAGCGATATGACGAAAAAAATGTTTCGAGTCCGGTGAGTGTCTCAATAGTTATCTATTTCTTTCGTAAGTCCTTCATACTAAAAAAAATGTATTTCTTGTTCTCATACAGTAATCTTTTAATATTTAATATTGATCTGTTTTGAGCTTACAATGGATTACTTTGATTTTAGTTTCTCACAAGATGATAAATAATACATTTTGTATGATCACAAAAGATACCTTTTCGTCAACAGGATGAGGACGGCAAACAAGAGCGCGTAATGCGCCAAAGGAAGAAGTTCCTCTCAGCTCTGATGGTAGACGGCAGGGCAAAGAGCAGCAACCCTCCTTCCTCGAACATCAAAACCATTCCTTCAAATGACTACAAGACCTCGAATCTGAAGAGGTCGCAGTCATCCGTGCATGACGCCATTGACAGACAATATGAAACGCGCGACGTTGACCAAGAGTCGGACCCACAACCTCCACCCTCGATCGCCTCGAGCCAGCCTAAGGTATTCTGGGTGTTGCGACTTGCTAGTACGGTAATGGGTGTCAGATGTACTATTCTCAATTCATCTTTAGGGATAAGTTTTATGGGTTGTTTTATCCCGAATCTATTCTGGACGATGATAACTAGTGTTGCATCCTACCTTGATGGAGGCTAGCTAGTTTACCCTCACTGGATGTCTCGTTTCGTGCGTGCATCAGGGAGATTGTGGTCTTTTTCGGAATGTACATTTGTGGCATGTAATGTGGAAAATTCTTGGAATGTAAATAAATGTGAAACGATGACCCCAAGTGTCTGTGGAACAACGGTTCAATTAGCTTGAAAAAGGTCGGTCCATGACCCCGGAATGCATGCAAGTTCATATAACTATTACCTTTATCATGCATGTTCATTCAGCATGGACATGCTGTTATTTGGTTGGAAAAAAATTCCATTTTTACTGTTGCACTCTCTCGATCTAGAAATAGTTTCCACTCAGCTTATCATGAACGAAAGCGCGAGATTGAATTACCAACTTTTCTTCTCACAGCCGTGTAACTTTATGTTACATGACTGGCAAATCCATGCGACTTGAGGTTAAATGGATTTAATTTTACAATCATAGTAAGTAGAAGCTACGAGTACTTCCTCCGTTTTGAATCCTGTATTTTTCCTTGCCCATTAATGCAACATTTTGGCTGTCTTTCAGACTTCCCGCCCCTTTTAAGGCAATAATCGAAATAAAAATTTAAAAGAATAATTAAACTTTCCTTGGCTGTCCTCGGCATTCCCTTCCCTGACCTTGTCCCTCCCTCTCCTTCACTACCCTCACATCAGGTGCCTTCCAAGAAAACCAGTGCTCCTAAAGCTAAGAAGAAAAAGAAGTCATGGTCGTGGGGATTTTTGGGCCTTCGTTCCAATAAAAGGAAGAAAGTGTCGCGGCCATCAAGTCGAATTGGAAGTGATGCCGGCGGCTCGAACTTGAAAAGTACACCTTTGAAGCGAACAAATAACCAACACCTGCTGAGCGATCGACCGACTTCCAGAGCATCTTCACACAGGAGCTCTTCACGCCCCCTTAGGCCTTCGGTGCGGGCGTCTAAAATACGTAAAGACGTGAGTCATACAACGTCTTGGGCTCCAGCGGCCATCGGCTCCTCCTTGGTCAAGTAGATCTAAAATAAGCACTCAGCTCAGCACGGGACACAATGAAAAATATCTGCACTCTTCTGGCTTATGGCTTCTCAAACGAGTGCTGTTAGGCAATAAGAAACTCCATTGTTAAATACATCGTATATGGGCCAGAAGAAAGTAACCTGGCTTTGCACTGTCGGGTTTTATGGTGGCATAATAATAACAACGGTACTTGATGTTATTGAAAGTATTCCAATGTCAGAACAAATACTAGCATGTCGCCCTCATTAGAACATTATTTTTTTCAACTGACTTCGTTTCATTAAGTAACACTAAGATTTATACCAGATAATAATACAGTCCAGACTTTTGTAATAGAGGCGGATTGAGAAGTTCGCATCTCACCAGATGGATTACGCTTCTTGGTGTGACGTGATTTATTGATGACGAAGTGAATAATTTACAGACGTTTACCGACAAATGGATACAAATTTTTACTTGTTGACCGGTCCAAACATTGACTGTAATTTCGTGGTGAAACTGAGCATGAACTTTACTACAGACTTTACTCCAAGAACTTTACTCCGAACCTAATTTTCCTGTCTCTAATCGCACGTTTACTTCAGCTTCACTACCTCGTGCAGATCTATCTTTAGTTGTAAGACCATCCTAATGTCGCATGTTAATTAATTTTTTTTAGAAAAACTTAAGAAGTTACTTTCGTTGCAACGGGGTACGGTTGCATGCATGATTAAAATTAACATTTTACATTAATGGTACTCACATTTGAATTAGACTAGAAAGTTCGTGATGTAACGACTCCTCACAAAATTTGTCCAATATAAAAGAAACGAGCGTTTAATCTTGCTCAGATCGAGATTCTTTTAAATCAAAGTTATTAAAGGCAATCCTCGCTGATAGTTTCATATGAATGTTGAATGCCTTCAAGATGTATGTGACGACGGCGATTTTAATCTCCTTTAAAAAGGCAGATAAAATTTGTCATATAAATCATCCAAATATTCGGTTTTTCAAGGTTATTTTGAGAGTGTTTTTAATTTCAAATCATGAAAATATTGACCAATAATTCAATTTTTATAGCATAGCGTTTGTATTTTATGAATCACATTACTTAGTGCAAGCCCCATTTATAAATAATAACCCCATTCCAGTTTCGGGAAATCATCAAGGCTCACTTGCTGCCGCTAACAAACCTTAATAAATTGTACGAGAGTGGTGAAATCTCCAATATCGCGCTAACGATTAATCCGAGGGCAAAATGAGAATAACTTGTAGGCCACGAATTAATGTACAAATACACTTAGCGCAGCAGTAATGCTTCATTTCAAATGTATGGTTCAAAGCTTTTAATTCACTCACCTTTAACTTATGTCAATTAACAATAACGAGTGTCGTAATTTACAGGTCGGAAGTCGAGGCTGGACCTCGCGAACGCAGGACCAGCGCGAGACACGGCAATGGGAAAGCACAACACTGCAACGTTCAAAGGCGCGCAACCCTCCCCGGGGATCAAAGGATTACTACCAGCGACCCACAAATTCCAGAGGCCCCAGACGTATTTCTGATGGCTCATCAGGCTCTAGTGCGTCACCACGTCAGGTAAAACCCGTTCAGGTTGGTCGAAATCCGAGTTTCAAGCAACGTTATTTCGGAGAGAGCGACCGCGAGATGACTCGAGACGGTCGGTCCAGCGGTCCAGGCGACTACAGGAGTTTGCCTGCGCGCTCATCGCGCTCGCCCAACAAGAGGCCGACGCGAGGAGGTTCGGCGGGAAGTTCGCTACAGAGCAGCGAAAGTGAGAACGACAGCCACCAGGGCTCAAGAGCCTCTCATGTTTCCACTGGAAGCAACCGCTCAGTCTACTTGCACGCCACGGCCGTTGCCGACATACCTGTTCAAAGAGACGGAGAATCTGATCGCTCGGGCGTGCAGCGCCAGGCCAAGAAGGTAACTCGGTCTTTCTCACTCCTTGCTCCGTGGAAGCCGAGGCATCCTCGGGAGCCGCACCACATCGAGTATGACAGCCGAGACACGCGTCACGCTAAGCCACCGCGCCCTCCACGCAAAACAGTCGACACCGTCGGTCGGTCTCAGACTCTCACAAACAAAGATTCGAAACTCTCAGGTTGGCTTAAGAAGAAGAAGACCAAGGAAGGCAAAGGTATATAAAGTATTTTAAGTACATGATTTTCCCGTCAATATCAAGTGTTTTGCCACAGTTGCCAGATGTAACAGGAGTTCATTGCAAAGTATATAGGATGTCACTGCTGGCAGTTGTTGCAGGAACATCTAGGTAAATAATGCGTGTCTAATAATAATAAAAAAAGTTACTCACTGTAGTGAAGTTTTTTTTCTTAGTCACGCAATTAAGTTTACTGCTGATATGTCATAACCTGTATATTATCTCGATTTTTGAAGCACTAAACCACAGTAACGTTATTCAAGGTTACTGAAAGTGAGATCTTAGAGAACCAGACTTAAATCTCGATCAGTAATGTGTACATAGGGTTATACTTACAAATTTATATGATGTTCAGATGTAATAATGTTATGACTATATTAAATCTTCTACGAGCTAGAGAAGTTTACTCCGTTATTGCTTCTATGTTTTATCATGCAGCAAGCATACGTTTACCTGCAGAGTGATCACATTAATGACCAGATTCATTTCATGAACCGTTATTCAATCAATTTTGATTAAACCTATGTTCGTTCAATGGTAGAATTGATGACATTGTAAATGATCACGGTATTCAATCCGTCTTGTAAGCACTAATTAGATGGAAAAAGATACATTAGTAGTAGGTTGTGCAAGCATTGTTTTCCGTAATAGTTCTCACATTTACGAAATGAATTTATTAGAGATTTACTTATCTTGAAACGCGTAAGAAAATTGCAGTGTGCTCCCGGGAAGATATACATACAGCACTGTTACTGGGTTAGTTGAAAATTAAACAGATTGTCAAATTTTAGAGCTAGTAAACAAATTTTCTACAATACCATATGAGAGCTGTCTATGTTTTAGCTTGGATCTTGATCTATTTTACAGCCTTATTAACTTTTCAGTCATTAATATTTACTGTAAGCATTGAAAAATGTTGTAAATAAAAATTTAACAATCGAAAAAAATTGCCTATCCTAAATTACGATAATTCAAATTCGCCTCAAAATGTTACGAATCATTGAAGTAAGGTTGTTATTCCAGTACAAATAATCATGACCTTTGAATGAAAATAGAGTATACATTTTTTTAAATCCATTGCACTCGCCAATGAATAGAGCGAGCTGAGCTTCATCTAGTCTCCCTGATCTTTGAATGCGCGGCTAAATAATCCTGCGTGGTATTGACCTGAAGTATCTTTGCTGCGTCAGGAATAGAGTAGAGTAAGTACTGGAAATTTGATTTGATTGTCTTTCCTCGCGAGGGATGAATGGCGTAGCTCAATCAATTTCGCTCTAAGTGGGTCACAGTTTGGTCCATCAAAGTGGGTCACCCATGGGTTGGTCGGGAGATTAAAGATCGAAGAGTTGTAAGTAAATTTGTAGGCTACACGGAGAGGCATTTGTCGAAACAGTTCACCAAGTAAAGACGTGACGACGGTATTACCATACGGAAAATATTTCAGTTGCCCTTGATGGCATTCCCGTACGGGAAAGATTTTTACCGCTATGTAGTGGTTATAAGCAGACCGCACATGAAGTAGATCAACCATAAAATGAATTTTGCGAGGGAAAAAAGCCGCAAAAATAAATCCAATTCACACAGTAACGTGAAAAAAACAGCCAGAACAACATTGGTCATGAATGCAAAATTTAAAGAAAACTTGGATATCAAGAATTTATGTTTATTACTGGAGTCAACTAAGATACAGCAGCATAGCTTTAATGGAGATTAACATGGAAGAGAGAATGCCACGCGTAATTATAGAAATTGTCATCAAAGCCCTGGCGCTGGATCACTGAGTGAGTTATTCCACAAAGGTCTTTCTCCTCGAAGATATCTGATAAAAAATGGTGCAAATAATCTCTCTCAGATACTTTTCGCTATTTGAAGTGATCAGAAAACTTTCATATCAGTATCATTGAAAAATTATGGAAAAATTGCTATGTTAATGGACTTGTCAGAATAAATAATAGTGTAAATGCTTAGAACACTTAAACAAACAATAAACTGATCGGAAATACATCAAGTTGCTGTGCCATGCAAATAAGTACAAGTACTCAGAGTTATTCGGTACTACTTCAGGGATGAGAAACTAACTAGCACAATTTAATATACGAAAAACAATCCTCGAAATGGTACAAGCTCAATTATCTACCGAAACTAAAAACTTACTCGCTTGTTAGTCACTCGATTTACTCTCACTTACGTAAATGAATCTTTTGTTGCAGTGAATCCTTTCATTTATCACGGAAAAGAACAATATCGACTAGTCTGTCCAATGGCAATTCTGGTGAGCATTCACGGGAGAGTTCCTTAGAGTTAGACGGGAAAGAATCGGATATTAAGAACACATTTCATGCAAAAGTATCGACAAAAATTAAAGGCCCGACCTGCACATCTAGGGCACCTCACATTGGCCCAGCAGCAGGAATCATTGTCCAGCGAGAGCTAGGAACTAATTTGCACAATAAACAAAACATAACGAGAAGTGATTAGTGTGATGCAAATCAAACTGCTCCTAGAGATCAATGAAACATCGCTCAATCAAAATCATTTCCATGTAAACGAAAATACAGGGTGCGGCGCGGGAACTTACTTATTTGAATTGCGCGCCACGTGGCGGCCATTAGTCCTAGGAAGGTGGCGCCATGCGCAATATGGTGCGCGGGCTATGAAGTTTTTCGTCCACTCAGTTCAGTTGCGACCATGCAGTGGTCGAGATGTAGGCCCATGGTTTTTTGAAGAGAACGATAGGGCAGTTACAGTCACTTCTGAACGGTACATTCAGATGATTCAAGAGTTTTTCCTTCCAAAACTTGATGAACTTGGTGTAAGAAATGTGTGGTTTCAACAAGATGGGGCCACGGCTCACACAGCACGCGCTTCAATGGCTCTCTTGCGCGAACACTTTCCACAACGCGTGATCTCCTTAAGGGGCGATCTCCAGTGGCCAGCGCGCTCGCCGGACTTAGCCCCCTGCGATTATTTTTTGTGGGGATACTTGAAATCCTTAGTGTACACCAATCGTCCGAGGACCCTAGCTGAACTGAAGAACAACATTCGCGTTGCTATTGCTGACATTGGTCCAGACATGCTTGAGAAGGTGGAGCGAAACTTCCGATCTCGTCTGACAAAATGTATTGAACAGCATGGAGGTCACCTACAAGATGTAATATTCAAGAATTAAACTTGTAAGTAAACCCAACGAAACTTTAAATGTAGCTCTTTGTAAAAAAGAAAGAATTAAAACGCTATCTTTAATACTTTTTACTTTGTGATTTTTTTAAAAGAGTAAGTTCCCACGCCGCACCCTGTACTAACGTCACGAGGAAGAGTCAAGTTATTGAACAATTTGCGCAGGAGAAACATAAAATAATTATCAGGAAAATTTACCAAGGATAAAAATTAACATTTTGCCAGTAAAATATTTCGCTCACATTTCAAACCGCAAAATCTAAACTATCCAGCAGATCAGCCGAAGATTAACAAAAATCAGTAAGATCTTCCGATTTAGTATTAAACTAATTCAGTACAAAACCATCGAAATGCGTGCATCCATAAATTTTAATTCAGCTAATAATGATGCTACTACTGGCAAATACACCTAGGTAGTTGATCAACGTTGTACAAATTTGAGTAGAATGAGCCTACAAAACCATCTCACACGCATGACGTGCGCTAGGAGGACTGGGCGTACGGCCTTTGAAGAAAGACGCAGTAACAAAACAGTCAACTGAACAGTTGGAGGTGTCGCAGGAAAGCGCGGAAGGCAGGACAATTCTGCTCCGACATTTTTTGGAATATAGTGGAGCAAAAGAAGCTTATATTCGTTGAGAAAAACTACATTTTCATAAATAATGGCGTTCTGGCCACTGTATTGATACTGAGAGCTCCCCTCAGTCTTGATCTCCTGACAGCACGGAAAATATTCTTCAAAATTTCATAAGACTTGATGGAGTAAAGCTTCGTAACTGCAAAGTAAACGTTTTAGCTCCACTCTATTGCAGAGCAAGTAGTTGAATACGATAGGCCTATATATCATGAGTGGAACATAAATTAGAAAAGGAAGTGATAATAGTAGTAGATTGGCCACAAGTTTACTAGTGCTTCGGGAAAAGTTCTCTAGAATTGAAAGAAAATATACAACACCAACAAGTGGCGTAAGGTCGTAAATATCCCAAGCGCTGAGGCTTGCATGAAGGAGAAGACATTATTGCGAAAAGACTAAAAAACGAAGAAGGGCTAGGCGAATGGCAATATGAACAAACACTTTGATAGAATTCGCACGAGATTGAAAGAGAAGGAAAATATAAGGAATTCTACCTCCCTGTCTACTCACTCGCTCACGTACCTATGAATATAATTCCATAATTGAGAACTCCCAGCAAATTTTCTTAGGACACACCTAGAAATTGCTTCTAAGTCTCAATTTCATCAGCTGGGACTACATCTAAATCAAATAAACGAAATATACGTCATCAGTTTTACATAAACATTCAAGATAGTTAGCATTCATCCGTATTTATAACAAAAATGAATGAATATTATAACGTGCTGGCAAAAGCTAAGCCAAAATAAATATAACGGGTTTTACAGCTAAGATTTTTGGCGATAGCTTTCAACTTAAGGCAAGTGCATACATGGGACGGCATGATGAGAAATCAAGACAGTAGCAGCAGCGACGCAGAGCTGTCCTCGCTACAACAAGCCTATACATTTAATAAATGCTTGGATATTTTAAGGAAAACTTTCTCAAAGTCGTCATGTGATTAGAAATAGTAATTGAGTTGAGGCATAAAGCAAAATTAAGACAGAACTGACAGTAAATAAACCGATGACTAGCTTGAAATGCGAACATATGAAGATACAATGCACGGCTTGGAATGATGATTTTGAAAGTGTTATACATGTATAATAGTGATTAATCATGAAAAGGAATATTTGACAGCAATAGGCCACAATTTTTTTGAAGCATGTTGATCACGATTATAGCTCAGACCAGAGGCTCAAGCACAAGGAAATTATTTCACACTGATTCACTTTTTTTTTTTAATTCCCATGTAAGCTCAAACAAGCCACAGCCATTAAAATAAGAACGTTACGCCAAAGAAGCTGTATTACGGATTGATAATTCGACGGCACATGTACACAAGCGTTCTTAGCTTCTAATGCTGATCACAATCAACAGTGATACAACCAGTAAATTTGACAGAAGAAGCGACCACAATCCGTCGATATAAATAGAACCAGTAAGAAATACTGTTATGTTTGGTATAGTACAAGAGCTCTATAAACGAGGGGTAAATTCAGTACATTCAGAATAATAACTCTGAGATCGGTGGAACCTAACCGCACTGTTCTTTAAAATGTATTCTATTCTAATCTATTAATTTAGGATTTAAACACCAAAAATAAACCAAAAATTACTTGAATCCTTCAGAGCACTTGACATCAAAATATAAGTGACATAAAGGCCTAATTGAAGCTCATTACAAGAAAAATGTATTCAATGGTAGTTATTCAAATGAATTTGATAATACTTTACACAATGAATTTTTACAATTACAGTTAAATTAGCACAGCAACGCTTAATTTGAAAAAAAATATACAAATCAAATTATTCTCCTAGCCCGTAGACATGGAGGCAGTGAGAGATGAAGACCCAGGACTTGCAGTCATCAACTGGCAGGGCTCCTTGCACTCCGCAGGCACAGGAGCAGCGCACTGCTTGTGATGGTTGTGTTCGTCGTCAGTGCCACTGCCGCTGCTGTTGCTTTTGCACAGAGACTCGTGACATGAGGAGGGTTGCCCATGGTCATCAATCAAGTCTCCATGAGTGTCAGCTGAAGACATGACCGCGTCAGGAGAGGAGCTGATGGGCTCAACATGCGGGTGTGGGGGACAAGTGTGGTAGCGGTGGCTTGGGGGCAACAGCAGCTTCACATAGTTGCTTTGCAGAGGTTTATGCAAAGCACTAACAGCAGCCTCCACAGTAAACCACTGCCGTTGACGACCTGAAATGAGTGTAGTTCATTATTTCAATCTAGTACATGACACACATAAGTAGCGATTCTTGTGAACTGTATTCCAGACATGATCACAAATAGAAATTTGTCAGAATTGCTGCGCTGATATCTTGCAATACAATCTCACCAAATGAACGAGATTCATCCCACTCTTCTAACTCTTCAGTGACTTCCATCACAAAGACACTAGTGCGATGCCTCCTTTCCTTGTTCTGCAGGAAAATGGAAAATTAATGGGAAAAAGGTAGTGTATAGAACATGCAATAAATAAATGAATGAATAAATATGACAAAGAGCTCAAAGTTTTTACTAATGGGCAGCTAAAGGAAAGATAAAAAAATTAATTTATTAATTCAAAATGAAAATTGTAAAATCATAAGACTTGATTGATTTATGGCTTCCAAATTGCAATGGAGGCTGAGAGCATAAAAGTCATTGCTTCTGGGTGAAATTGTTTAGTGACTTTGCAAAACAATTATATGGTATTATTGGGTGTCAATACCTTGATTGGTCTTCAATTTCAGATAAATAGAAATAGTATAAAATGTAAATTACTTCAAAAACCCCCAAGCATCGGCTCAGCTTGCCACAGACACCCGCTTCCTCCTTGACTTCTCTGACTGCAGCAATGGGAGCCAACTCGTCAGGCTCTACGCCTCCTCCCGGGACAATCCATAAGCTAGGATCCTTCCGTGATGTCACCAGCAGCACCTAGTGTATAGATTGGTCAACACTTTTTAGGGAAAAGAGGTCATAATTTAAACAAAATGCTACCAGCAGAATTTGATGGAGTTTTTGTTATGTGCAACAAATACTTTTATTTTATATCTACAAAATGACATGCGCAATTTTGAAAAAGGGACTTGAAAGATTTCACTCTTTGTCTATAGTCTATTTTATCTTTGTCAAATTTTCTATCTTTGTCACTTTCACTTTCTATTTTCACACAATGAAGATAGATGTTTTGTTGACTATTTGTAGATTATTTTATTAACTTCAAATCAATGAAATAAAATTAACAGAATATATGCATCAGAGCAGAATTTGAATCCATCAAGAAAGATAATTAGTAAATTTAATGTCTAAAAATTTCTATATTTGATTTTGGCAAAGAAGTGCTAAGCTTTTTTTACATACCTTAGTTTCATCTTCATTGACACACACACAGGAAGCTCGTTTCCTGAATCCATCTTGGTCATAGGTGCGAACAACCGAAGGTTCTTTCAATTTAACAAAGCTGTTCATTTTGAGATAGAAAATTGAATTAATTCCAAAACAAATATGGGGAGGTGATGAAAAAAAGAAAAGAAAGAGACTAATAACGATCAGTTATTGGAGGGTAATAGAGAAGGTTTTATAGATGAGTAACATAAGTTCCATCTTTTAATTGACCAAGAAGAATACATTCTTGAGAAAAATGACATTTCATTTGTCTGGAAAGATATAGACAATTAAATACGCATATTAAGATAATTTATAATGGATTGAAATATTGATATTATGCATAAGCAAAATTTTTTTGCCAATTTTTTTGATCATTCAATTACAATTGAAATGAAATTCCCTACTTTATAGTCTGGCAAAAGCAGGTATATATATAGTGTTGGACTTGCACAACAACCTTTACCCTCATAGTGTTGAGTGGTCAGCACACATTATTTGGCTCTTAGCCACAACAAATTTCCAATTAACTATACCTAAACATTAGACTTTGTAGATTTTAGTTGAAAAGAGTTTGGCATTGCAATAAATTTTGATGCTATCTGCATTAAAGTGGCCGACCATAAGGTTTTGACTTAGACACATGGGCCTCTTGTACTAATCTCTATGCTTAACCAACAGCTTAATTCACTCACTCCTGTTTGGAAACAAATTAATGAATTTTAATTATAACCATGCCACATTATGTATGATGATGATCACCACAACGTCACTTGACTGAGTGCCGCCCAGGCCCACCCCCCTCCGGAGCGCCGAGCCGGTCTTGCCACACCCTGACCAGTTGGGACACTTCCACTGGCTTATTCCATAGATCTTCAGGCTGCAGGCTGGTTGGAATTTCAGCACACCCAAACAGATGTTGTGTGTTGTGGGTGTGGTTTTGACACAGAGGGCATGATGGTGTTGGGTAATTAGCCTCATCAATCTTATTGAGGTATTCTCTAATCATTGGGCATTTCCCCGCCCTTAACTGCGCCAATGTGCGCCTCATGCCTCGGTTCAAAGTCCTCTCTATTTCGTTTACTTTAGGTGCAGGTGCATTTAGAATCTTGTTGGGTGTTCTCGATTCTAGGTATCTCTCGATTGCGGTGGTATGCACATAATGTATAAAAATTTTCTTCATGTTTACAGTTTCAGCTGCTTTCTGTGAGTATTGCAACAAAGCATATTAAAAGAAGTTGAATATTGTCTTTGGTCAGTAATGAAATATAAAAGATCAACAAGATACAAGACAATGGTTTTTTGCACAGGCTTTCAAAATTTTAGAGTACCGGTACTGTTCTGTAAGGAAGCATTGAGCATTTATCTAATGAGGGATGAAAAATAAAACAATTTCAAAGCTGTATCATGCCCAAATTGCTAGTCTGATTAACTCCCAATTAATTTTTAGTGATGCACACTTAGTAACCAATTTTTTTGTGCCAGTCTGATTAACTCCCAATTAATTAGTAGTAATGTACCTATACATAGGTAGTAACCATTTTTTTTAATTTATAATCTTGTTACCAGATTGTGCACTTTTGGTAACAGATAGAAAGACAATTCACTTGGCAAGAATCTCACAACTCCAAAAATGGCAGTCAAAAAACTCTCTGGTTGCAGCTTGAAAAGTAGATTATTTTCTATGCCTGCAATACAATATGTACCTATACTTGTTTATATTTTACCAATCCACCTCCTGCATCCACACTGGCTCCCTCCAATGACACTAAAGTTGTCACTTAGCAGACACTCACACACCTTGCTTTTTATCACTGAAATCCGTATCATACTGGGCAGCCAATTTGTAATGTTTGTTTGTAATGTGGAATTTCCAGCAATCATGGGTAAAACAATTGTTTCACTTTCATATATTTTCAAAAATTACAGGAACAACTAGGCCCATAGTGCAATTCTATAGGTTATATAAGAGAACATAGTATTTTGAATTTTTGAGATCATGGATCAATCAATGCTCCTTCACAGACTGCCCAACAGCACGCAAGCACCACTTCTCACAAGACGCAACCACGTACTAAGTAAACAAAAGACAGCGTTGGCCAGCAGCACAACAGTTCAATGGAAAAAATTGAATTAGTTTAAAATAAAAGGCCCTAATGAAATCAGGTATGGTCAATAAGTTACTATAAAATAATAAAAATCAATGTTTCTGCATAAATTTCAATGCTGTTAACATTGAGAAACTTCAAAGTATCTCTTTCATCGTATATACTTGTTGAACAAATTATAATTTGGCTATATATGTAGCTCAAAATTTCTTTGAGACCAATTGGTCCATTTGGTCCAATCAAATGTATGGTTTACAAAGGTTACTTGGCATTGATTGCTAGTGTAAATGACTAGATATATGTTTATGCTATATCCCCATATTTCCATTCCATGCTTCATCACAGTGCAAACCAGAGATTTTTTAGAATCAGTTCATTTTAAATTTCCTAATTCACTCAAGATTTTAACCAATTTATTAAATATGATAATGCTGGTATCCATGATACTTTCTGGTCTACTTATAGGACTCAAAAATGAACTTGAGGGAGAGTCTAAAAAAAATTCTGCTTTGCCACTATGTGCTTCATTACAAGTGAAATTAATCACCTGCAATGAAAATATTGAATTAAAATGTGAAAACTCATGTCATGAATTCTCGCATTACTAGTCTGTAACTAAGTCTATTGATGAAAAATTTTAAGCAAGTTACAGGCTTACAGCCATAAAAGAAACTTCATATCAAATAAAATTACTGTGCCACAATTTTATGTATTGGATAATAAGTAATAATTATCATATTTCATTATCTTTAATTGGAAATGAAGCATATTTTAAGTTTACAATGGCCCATGCAACATTTCTATAAATGTTATTTTTACTTAAATTTAAAAACCATCAAATGGGGTAATAAGGGATGGTTTTGAGCATTTTTGTTAACAACTTCTCCCATGAAACATTACAGAAAGAAGTTTGGGCTCATTTTTATTATCTTGCAAGGGCTATCATATGGCACCTCCAAAAATTCCACATACTATTTGTAAGGTACAAGATGCAAAATAAAAGCATCCCGAATTACCCCCGGGAACATGGTAATCCGAGACACTTGAAATAAAACTTAATTTTAAAACGTTTACAGCATGCAGGGTGTATTTCTTCATTACTAACAGTACTCTGAAGTTCTCTTACTTTGTAGATGATGTAGATGTACAATAAATGACATTTTCTGTGATTTTTACTTGTTTTTCCTTTATTGGTCTGAAATTACCATATCCATACATTACCATATTATTAATGTGATACTACCCTATCCATGAACATGCCATAGAGCATTTACAACAACCTTGTCCACTGCAAGCTTCACATCAGCAGGCATATAGCATTTCTGTAAGCTTTCAGGACAGCTTGTTATTTCACACCATTTAAATTGGTGTCAAAGTAAATTCACTTTAAGGGGACCGCCCTAGCTAAAATTTGAAAATTTTGAGTTTTTCTGTTTCTTATCTCATCTTAAAGGTTGTTTTCTTGCGCATCGAACGGTATAAGTATCGTCCCTGTACGTCGAAAAATGACTTTGTGACAGCTCCTCAAAGGGAGGTGGGTTTTAGGTCCCTTAACAAAACTCTACGAGGATAAATGACGCGCTTTTTTACATTTTACGTATGAAATGTGAAGTTTCATGACAATCGGATAATAACTGTAGAAGTTTTCGTATGCTAGGGCGGTCCCCTTAACAAAAAAAAAAAAAAAGACATAAAAAACATACAGGAAACAGAAATGAATATTTAATGACAACCTTCATATTTTTTGGAGAAATAAATAATAGTTTAGGTTAATTAATTTTCATTCTATGTTGCCCAGAGCACAATTCTATATATGACATTCCATGCACAATTTTGAAATGACCAATTATTCATTAATTTTTAGTTCAAGAAAAATTTTTTTTACCAAGCAGGGTAGATGTAATCGATATTTTTTTTGGCAATTGATTTTTTTTGTTAACTGGAGCCTTTGCTAATCGAGGTTCTACTGTAAATGCATTTTCAGGAGTGTCCCTTATTACCCTGGAGGGTGTCCCTTATTACCCTGTCTTTCAGAAATTGCCAGCATTTTTTCAATGAGATACACAAATTCTGTTAATCGCGTTTTTAAGCCAACATCTGTGTGCAATTTTATGCAAGCAAAATCTTTTTATACAGCAAATGTTTTTTTTTGCTACAGCATAGCAGAGGTACTTTTCCGAAGTCTCATTTTCACTTCTTTCATGGAATTTTCAGAGGTAGTAAATGTACAATTTCTTAACTTGCTTTATGCTACATAGATAGTAAAAATGTTGAACTTTATGCTACTATTTTTAGTTTTACATTATATATATTTGATAAGTTTAGCCGAGATAATATTTCTATGAAATGTGGGATGACTCTTCCTATTTACCCTGCCCATCTCTCATTACCCCATTTGATGGTATGTGACTTATCAAATAATTTTTACAATTTTCCAACCATTTCAAGTTTATAATGATTTTTTGTTTGCTTCTTGAAAATGATACTTATTTATACATAACTCAGTAAGCTGTGAATTCAGAAGTCACAAACATGTTCTCTCCAAAATGTAAAAACTGCTTAGTAGATAGGTTGGAATTTTGTGTAAAAGCATGTAATTATACAATATATATATATATATATACATAGGATACCATTCATGAGTCATGACCCCAAATTTACACTTGTGATTGTGGTACTAACACAGTCTGTTCCAACATACCTGCAACATATTTTCCATTGTTAATTATTTATATTTGTTTATATAAGCAAATAAATTCATGGTAAAAAATTCTTACTACACACCAAACTTGTTTATGGGACATTCATCATAGCAGCTTCATATATGAAGAATTTTCATTTCAGGGCCCAGCGGTTGAAGGTCTGAAGCTAGTTTTGACATTTTAGCAAAATTACTCTTTAGATCAACGTTGTTCTCCAGATAGAAATTAATCAAATAGGATAAATATAAAGGCTTATTTTCTAGGAATTCATAAGTTCTTAGCAAATTTTAGTTCTTCAGTGTAAAAAATCATTATCTAACCCCTTTATTAAAATATTCTAAAAACAGAGATGAATTGTTTACTATTTAGAATCATTCTGGTGTATCAGCAGGCATAAACTTATTCTTTTTTACATCCAGCTGTCAAATCTGAAAATAAAAAACATTATTCAACAGAAAGTTAA